TTTATTATGTTTCACATTTTCTTTACATTTAACTTCCTAAGAGAATAACATTCAAGTTCTAGTTTACATTCTGTAAGTAAAAAAACATCTAAAGTGCAGTGAACGCTAAACAAGTAGAACTAAAACTAGCAAAACTGCAGCTAAAAGCTAAACTGTAGCAGTGGTTAAGATTTACAAAACCATAGATGCTGTAAAATTAGCAAAGCAGTAGTGCAAAGTGAAAATCAGCAAAACTGCAGCTAATAAATAAAAGCTCAAATTAGTGAAAACACTGGCTAAAATCTAAAAACAGGAAAACAGCATCTGCATGCGAAAAGTAGCAAATAAAGTGTGTAGTTTAAAAACCACAAGGGGCATAAGAAAACTAAATAAAGTGTGTAGTTTAAAAACCACAAGGGGCATAAGAAAACTAAATAAAGTGTGGGAAAAATATTCTCTCTTTATCTTACTTACCCAAAAGGAGCCGCACTCGACAGCAGGTGAATATTTTTAATTAGTATTTTCTTGCAAGGTCAGATTTTCAGGACAGGTTACACAGGAAGTACACGCATGAAGACCAGTCACAAGAATCTGCCACGAGCAGCGTGTGCAGCTTGTTTTTATATTCTTATCAGTTCAGCCAAGCTCACAGACTCGGAGGCGTCCTTGAAGCGACAGCTGCACCCCTGCAGCCTCGTCCAGCGCTCTCTGCTAAACCAAACATATGGTTCATGGGCAGAGTTAACATTCTCAGCCATGGTTGTTAAAAACGTCCATAAACTTTGACCAAATATTACTGTAATCTTGGGGAGTTTTTAAACGTTAAATATTTTGTGAATTATAAATGCCACAAACAGTGAAAGTCACAGCACATTGTTCTGGATTGAGCTGAAACAAAAGTCTATATGAATAAGCCAGCTAACATGCACATTGTAATTTAAATTCTAATGAAACTGAACATTTTTCATTGTTTCCGACAAGCTTCTGGTCTTCAGTGGCTGTCAGAAGAGTTCAGTTTATGCTCCCCTCTTAAAAACAAGAATGATGTCATCAGCTTCAAGAGCTGGCTCCAGGAGACCTGGGTGAACCTGGCCATGGTGGACTACCCATATGAAGCCAGTTTCCTCCAGCCGCTGCCTCGCTGGCCGATCCAGGTACAACCACTAAGAATCACTCGTGTGTACTCGGTTTAAGCCAAGTCTCAAATGTTCATACTTGAATGCAACTTTCTTTGTTTATCTTAAAGTGAGACAGATTTTTATACGTGATGTGACTTTTCAAACTTTTATTTACAGCAGCTGTTACATAAGAAGTTGGTTTCTTTTTCATGCAAAGTATTCTCTTTTGAGATGAGCAGCAACAAGTTGGCGCCGTTCTTCTCCTTTCTCAGGGTCTTTTCTTTTGTACGCTCATTCAGGTTTTTGAGATGTTCCTGTTGGACATTTCACCACAGAAAGAGAACGCACTGCTCATGAGGCCATCAAATAAAATGTATCGTATTTTTTGCCATATAAGTCACACCTTTTTGCATAAATTTGCACGTGCTGCGACTTATACACCGAAGCGACTAATGTACGTTTTTTCCCCATATTTATAACCCAATATTTGGCTGAGATCTGATGATTTCATTCATTTTGACATGGAAAATATTGAACATTACCATTTTCAGCCACTAGAGGGCCCTTGAGCAATATGGCAAGCCAAGTGTCTCATTAATAGGTAAAAGTGGCTATTAATGAGACACTTGGCTTGCCATACGGAGCCTCCTTCATCTTGCTCCGGAACTCCTGGAGCAAACGTCAAATCAGCTGCATTTCGCTGCGCCGCCCAGGTGAAATGCAGCCGATTTGACCATTAAAGTTCATTTATTAAGGAAAAGTTCAACTGAGTCACACCTTTACTATGATATCAAGCAAACAAATAATTGTTTTTAGGTGGTTCTCTTGTTAAATTTTGAAGAAATGCACAGCGAGTCGTCCCTCTGCACGCTCCAGAAGCTGCAAATCAATTTTTGAAATGCGTCTGATTTGACCAATAAAGTGCATTTATTACGGAAAAGTTCAACTGAGACGCATCTTTGCTATAATTTCGAGCGAACAAATAATTGTTTTTAAGTGTTAATCTTAAAATATTGTTAAAGTCCTCCCGTGCACGCTCCCGCAGCCGCCATTTGGCAGCCAATCGATTTTTGGCACAACACCGGCCCACGTTTCCGGGTGGTCAGTGGTGACGCATAATAGATGCGACTTATACGGCGGCAAGTACGGTAACCACTTCAGATTGAATGGGACTGTTGGATAGAAAACTGAAACAGGAAGAAAAAAATAAATCGCATAAAAGTTAAAACTTCAGCAATGTAATAAACGCCACAAAAAAATAATGTATTTTATTTTGTATGAATGAGTTGATCTCAGCACCGGCTGTTTTCAGGCTGATTGACTCGGTTGTATATTTTTGCCTCACACATATTTCAATCCCGGGCTCAGCTACTGATCCTGGACTCTGTTAGGGGTCCCTTCAGAAATCTCATTCTTCCTCTATTGTGATACTTTTTCATTATTTATTACAAAACCAATGAATAGATTCAGCAGCATCATGTTTCATCATGTGAAATAAAACAGTCATAAATGGTCACAATGAGTTGGTTTTTTTTTTTGGTTCCCTGCCTTTAATGTATTCAACCCTTATGGGTGGTTTAAGCAGTTTAGGCAGTGGGAGCAAAAAGGAGCTTTTTTAATGACAAAGCTAATGTGATTATCTGAGTGAGTGTGAGAACGGGGTATTGAGGGCTTAGAGGAGGGAAATCTGTTGGCAGAGATGAATGTATAAGACTAATCCTATCTGAAAAGTAAGGAGAAGATGCTTTGGAGCTGTTGCGGTGGAGTTTTTTCACAGTATAAATCTTTAGTTGGACGTGTCTCTGGTCCTCCTCGGCCATCGACCACCAACTCCTCCCCTGCACATAAACAAAAGCCTTAGTAACAAACTCCACTCTAGTGTTGATCCCCTCCAGCTTCCCCCCCCCCACCCCCCAAAAGAGCCCAGTTTTTCTGCTTCACAAAAGCTTCAGAACCACAGCGTCGGGCAGCTCTGCTGCGGCAACCATAACAACACGCAGTAAAATCAAACAAGAGCCGAAATGCAAATATTTATCATTCACGCTAATAATTCTGACAAATCAACAAGTCAGACAGAACAGCAGAGCTAAGCCTTTAAATTTGAATTGATTTGGCTTTGCTGGATTTAAATAAATAGATGGCTTCCCCCCCCCCTCCTCTGCCAAGGTTACAGCAATAAATTCAAGTTCATTCCAGGGAATTTCAAATGCAAATCAGGCGCCGCCACTTTTGTTTTGTTTTTGTGGAAAGGCAATTTACAGGCCGCAAGAAAGCGTTCGGGAGTTTTGTACAGAACGTTGATTCCAGGGAAGAGGATGTTGGAGGTTTTCGCTTGCGTAAAGCTTTTAATGAAAATCCAAACGCGTCAAATCAATCGCTTTTGTTTTTCTCATGTGTTTTCAAGGTGGTGTGCAAGAGTCTCGCCTTTGATTCCACCGTGTCTGACCAGCACCTGCTGCACGGTGTCTCCCAAGCAGCAAAGGTCTATTATAACTACACAGGAAGCTCCCCCTGCCTCAACACGTCTCAGACAGCGACCAGCAGCCTCGGTGAACTCGGCTGGATGTACCAGGTGCGCGGCGCGGCTCCGTCCCGTTACGTTGTTTTATCCATTTCCACAGGTGTCAGAGGTGAGCGACGACGTGTCTAATCTCTCATCTCCAGGCCTGCACAGAAATGGTGATGCCCATGTGCACAGATGGGGTGCAGGACATGTTTGAACCCGAGGAGTGGAACTTCCAGGCTTTCTCTGATGAGTGTAACGCCATGTTTGGGATCAGGCCACGGGCTGACTGGGCCGGCACGGTCTACGGTGGAAAGAAGATTGCCTCTCATAGCAACATCATCTTCAGGTAAATGTCAGCAGAAGAGATTGGTGCTGATTATGTCTTTGATTTGTTTCAGACTCTTCACAAGAGGAAGAAATGTGTCACAGAAGTGACTCTGTAGCTCTTTTACAACTCTAAAGTACCTATAATAGACTGAATACAGCTGTAGTTGTGTGAATGTTTGTGAAGCATTCACACTATTGTGATCCACTTTTCAGCATCTTTCTCATTCCACAATTTTTGTGCCATTTCAAGAAATCGTATATCAAAACGTTCAGCTCTTTCAGGACAATCCTGCTATGACTTTATATAGGCACAACTTTGGCTTTTTGAAATATTTAGCCCTTTTCTGGCCCTTTTTGTCTCATAGAAAATGAATTGAGCTCTTTTTACATCCTTCATATCTTTGGATGTGTTTAAAATCTTTTACTGCTTCTTTCACATTTTGTTCTGGTTCAGCTTCTTTCAGCTTCCTTGTGCAAATAAAAAAAAAATTCAGCTACTTTCAGCTAATTTAAGCTGTTTTTTCATCCTTTCGTATTCTTTCTGCTAACTACAACATTTTTGTGCTTCTCTAACTTTTTTCTGCTAATTTCAGCTTCTTATGCTTCTTTCAGCTTCTTTCTGTAAGTTTCAACATTTTCTACTATTTCAGCTACTATTTAGCTGTTTGTATGCTAATTTGAGCTTTTCAGCTAATTCCACACATTTACAATAATATCAACTTTTTTCAGCCTAATTAAGCTAAATGTGCTCTCTCCACTTCCTTCTGGTAATTTAAGCTTTTTTTCTGATTTTTCGTTACTTTTCAGCTGGTTTTTTTTTTGTTGCTAATTTCAGCTTTTTTTCAGATAATTTCCACTTTTTTGTGCTCGTTTCTGTTTCCTTCAGCATAACTGGGCAAACATGTTCTTTCTGCTTTCTTCTGCTAATTTAAGCTTGTTCTAACTTTTAGCTAGCTTTTTAGCATTTTTTAAACTAATTTCAGCTCTTTTTAGATAAATTCAAGTTTTTCATGTGAATTTCTGCTACTTTCAGCCTAATTAATTTCTTTATGCTAATTTCAGCTTGTTATGATCCTTTCAGCTTTATATCTGCAAGTTTCAGATTATTCTGCTCTTTCATCTACTAGTTAGCTCTTTTGATGCTAATTTTAGCTTTTTAAGCTAATTCCACATTTCTTTTAGGTCATTTCAGTTCTTTCCACTTCCTTCTGGTAGGTTAAGCTACTTAGGCTACTTTTCAGCAATTTCTTAGCTAATTTCAGCATTTTTTTTTAAAGCTAATTTTGTAACTTTTGTACTAATTTGTGCTTGTTTAAACCTAATTCAGCAAATATTCACTGAAAGTTGAATTATTTTTATTTACATTTTTATTGTAGAAAAATCACAGATTCTTCAAATTCTTGAAAAACGGCGCTGTTTGAAATTTTCTTCGGCATACTTCATTTTTAGCTTGTAGCTACTGTTCTCTTAATTTTAGCTTTTAGCTACCGTTGAACACTAAAAAGCTTGGTTTTAGCATTTACGTCCTATTTTGGTAATTTTGTCTACTTTGTTGCCGGCTTTTGCTTATAGCTATTGTGAAAATGTTAGCTTTTAGCTGCTGTT